GGAGTTCTGGGCGGGCTCTTGGCTCAGTGGGTAAAGGAACTTGCCTCCAAGCCTGATGACCTGAGTTCAACCCCTTGAATCCACATAGTGGGAGAGAGAATTGACTCCTGCAAGTTGTTCTCTGACCTGCACATGTGTGTTGTGGCTTGCATGTTTCTATACATATGTATGTATTGCACATGCGTGTACACACACACACACACACACACACACACAAACACACACTCAATCAATCAATAAATGTAAAAAGGAAGAAAGGAAGGAAAGAAAGGGTTTTTTTGTGTGTTTTTTTTTTGTTTTTAACCAAGGCCCTTTGTCTCCAAATAGTTTTGACCGGGCTCCCATCCATGGGAAATATTCTGAATATGCACACAATCATTCATGATGGTTTGTGTTTATTTTATAAACACTATTACTTTACCAAGCCCAATTGGAAATTAAGGAAAGGTGGAGATAAATTTGATGGTCATAAGACTTCTGAAATTTTTCTCCCACATCCCACTTTGGAGATCCAGGCCACGGAGAAGGCAGAGAGGAGGCTGTCAGCTGATGGAGGTCCACAGACCCCACTCCTACACTTGAGATGAGCCTCCACACTCCACACACAAGCTCTTCAGAAGGTTCCTGCTCCTCCCCTTCCCCCTTTCTGTACTTCCGTCCTATCCCTTCTCACTCCCCGCTACAGGCTGTGCTGAAGTCCGGTTCCAAGGTATCTGATGTTTCTTACTCCCTCTCTCCCCCACAGTCCTTCCTTTTCTCTTTTCTTTCCTCTCTGCTTTTTTCTTCTCTTTCCCCACCCCCCAAAGGGCCTCATGTAGCCCAGGCTGGCCTCAGCTCCCTATGCAGCCAAGGATGACCTTGAATTTCTGATCATCCTGCGTCTACCGCCCACTTCTTCCTCCAAGTTCTGGGAACACAGGCATGCACCAGGCCACCTGCTTCCATACACACCCTTTACTTCTCCCGTGAACTGCTGCTCAATCCTACACTCTGCTTCCCGAGTGTTGGGATGAAGACTCATGAAGCCCAAATACATCCAGCCATGAGTGAACACTGACATTCAAGTTTTAACATCAGGCTCTTCTAACCTGACTTCGTTCTCTTAAGCATCTTCATTTTATGACTTTTGCTCTCTGGACCTAATGACACACTCCCTTTAAATTCCCAGACGATGATTTTTGATCAAAAGAAAAAAAAATACCTGACAATAAAAATATGATTTAGACCAAAATATTAAAAAAAAGTATACTTAGAATTTCAAAATGTTCTTGGCTGTTGGTTTGTTTTTAAAAGGTCTTTGACAGTAGCTCTGACTGGGCTACAGTCAGTTCTTCCCCCGCCCCAGCTTCCAGAGTCCTGGGGTTACAGGTGTGCACCATGACACTGTAGATGACCAGAGTCTTAAAAGCCATCTTTCCAATGTTCACATTTTCAGACAAGGAAGCTGGGCCTGTGATCTGTCAACCCCTAAACTGAGAGGGGGCGGAGACAGAGGGAGAGAGGAGGGAGGACCAGATCTGGCCATGGCCGCTTCCCACCCACTCAGTGGATTCCTGGGACGGGACCCCAGCAAAGTTTCCTTCACATTTTCCTTCCCTGCCTGTTCACCCTCTTACTTCCCAAAGAGAGCCCCACAAGGTATCCTGCCACCGTTAGCTAATGTAATATCCTTTCTCTAGAGTCTGGAGGAGACAGTCAAGATTCCAGCCTGACGCAGAGGCCAGTGCTCTCGAGGGTCACCAGACTGCAACTGAAGATAACAATGTAGGAAGGATGGTTCAGTGGTTAGAGAGCATCCCGCTCTTGCTCTGAGTTTGGATTTTAGCATCCACTCGAGGAAGCTCAAAGCCACCTGGAACTCTAGCTCCAGGGGACCTGATGCCCTCTTTCTGTGCTCCTCAGGCACTGGCACTCAAGTCTGCACATACCCACACAGACACGCACGCATATATGTAACTTAAGAAAAAGGAATGTCCCAGTAAG